TTTTGATCTTTCAGAACATAGAAATAATTTTTTAGTTAAATGAATTAAAGAAAAGAAGAAGGTGAAAGTTTGGTGGGTTATTTGCACATTTTAAAAAGTTTAGGCCTATAGTTGCAATTTCTTCTTTGTTTTTCTTTTCTTTCCTTTCTTATTCTATTTACATAGAAGGGTACATTGGTCATTTTAAATTTAAAAAAATTGTGGAAAGGACGTTCAGTGCAAAGAAATGCAGAAGGTATGGATGTTTTGTGCCAAAAAAATGAAAGGTATTGATGTTTTTCACAATAAACTTTAAAGATAAGGACGTTTTGCACCAATTATCTTTTGATAAAAATTGATAAAATGTGTTGTTAAAAAGTTGTGGATCCCATAAATATGTAGGTAAAATTATTTATTGACTTTAAATTTGATAAAAATTTAGATTATAATTTCTATCCAACATGCACTAAATTTGTTGTTAGAATTAAATTAAATTCAAATTTTAATCCAACAACCAAATTTTATTGAATCCAAATTCATTGTAAGCAACAAAAGACGTTTTTCAAAGTTCCGTGATCAAATTTTGATTACCTCAAAGTTTAGTGACTAATAGAAGACGTTTTCAAAGTTTAGTGGCCAAAATTCAACTATTTCAAAAACTTAGTGGCCAAAATTAGACTACTTTAAAGTTCAAAAAATGTTTTTCAAAATTTAGTGAGCAATCGAAGACATTTTCCAAAGTTTAGCGACCGAACTTCGACAATTTCAAAATTTAACGGCGTGACTGAACGCCACGTGTATATTCCATTGGCCATGTTATCAATTTCGTTAAAGGTTCGAAAGTTATACCTGTGACTAACGTTTAACGTTTTTCAAAATTTAATGGTTCAAAACTTGACATCTTAAATTTCAGTGAGCAATTGAAAATATGAACTTAAGTTCAATGACCATTGGATTAATTAACTTTCTTGGGACCCATCTTGGAATATTGATTTAGAGAAATTATTAATTTGAAGAGTTATACCTCGTAAACTGTTATTTTATCATAAAAATGCCTCTTAAAAGCTCCTACAAAAATATCCCTACTAAACCTACAATTATATCTTATTAGACTTCCAGCTCCATCAAAAATTCTCTCTTCTTGTTTTAGATCCATCTCATCTCTTCTTGCTCTCAAAAATTCTCTCTTTTCTATCTTCTTTGTAATTGCTCCTCGTTCTAAGATGTCTAATTCTAATGTTCCTTTGAGGGATAGCATTTCATAAAGAACTTTGCATGATGAAGGAAAATCCTGCATTTACTGAAAGCATCATTGCCAATGGCTAATAGATAAGTACAAGCTC